TTTCGTGATTTATTTTCAAAATTCACCACCTATCACTACTAATATTGTTATTCACTGTTTTAAAAGTGTTTTCGTGCTTTATTTAAAATTAAAAAAAAAACCAAAAGAGTCAAGAGTCGTTTTTGTTGTTTGTTTGTGTCTTAGGGTACCTTCCAACACAATGATGAGGATTTGGTTTTTAATTGCATGACTTTTAAAGAAAGTTACAAACATGGGTGGAAGTCTGATATGCTCTTTGGTTAATACTTAGTTATAGTTGTCAATTACGAATTCACATGTAATCACACAAAAAAAAAAAAAAAAGATCATCTGTTTTTGTAACATGCTGGAAGGAAGGAACTCAAACTAACGCTACAACCCTGAGAGACTTGATCCTGTTCTTTGTTTGGAGAGTTATTAATCTTGATATTCTTGTTTTCTAAAGTTGTTGCATGATCTCATTATTTCTTTGCTTGGTTGCTACTTAGAATGCTTTTTCATCTCTTTAGTTCCAAATACTAGAACTCATGCCCGTTCCATTCAAAGCATCAAATTGATTGCGTAACAAATAACAAGATGAAGTTGTTTAGTTACCATCAGAGCCAAAAAGCCTTATCCCTTGCATATGCATTGTAGGTTTAACCCTTTTGAATCCTTATTTAGCTTATTTTATTTGTTAGCTTGCATTATCCCTACCAAGCCTAGTATAAGAATATCCATACCCTTGTTCTTAAAGAATAGTCAAGCATGACTTGTTGGGAATTCCTTTTGATTTACAATTTGCAGAAAAAAAAAAAAAAACAAGTGTGGGGAAAGGATTTGTTTCTTTGGATTAGTGTTGTTAAAAAAAAAACAAAAACAAAAACAAAAAAAAAAAACAAAAAAAAGAGAGAAAAAATAAGAAGAAGGGATATGTGAATCTGACCCTAAAGTTGTATAAATCTCCCCTTTGTGCTAAAAATTGGGTGCTGCCATCACAAGTTGAATTCCAAGTGTTGATTTCATTGCTCTGTTTACTATTACTTTAAGAACCTTTGTTTATCCTCAACCTTTCTTTGTTAGCCAATACCTTAGCCCCAATACAACCCTTAGACTTCTATCTTGATTGTTATGTGTTTCAATATGTGGAGTTTGAAATTGGTATGAGCTTATGGAATCCCTGGTTCTCGCTTCTAAGTAGTAGCATTCTGTTCATGAGATCATATACACGTTCGTATTAATAATTCCAGAAAGTGCTTTCTTTGTTATAACATATGTGAGTGCTAGTCTACACATTTACATCAATCTTCTCACATATACTTAGTATAGGGAGTGTAGTCAGAAAATCTGTGTGAAAATAGAGAGTATATCGGGTGAGGAATTGAGTGAATTCTCTAAGGCATGTTACCACTTTCAAATGTTGTTTTAATTGATTAAATGTGAGCTAGTGAGTGTTTACTGT